AAGAGCCGCAGAGAGGGGCGCGGGGTGGCGCCGCGGCGGTGCAGCGCCGCCGGACGCGGGTGTCGCAGACGCGCGATTTGAATCATCGACTTCGCGCGAACGTTTCCATTCTGACGTTGATCGCGCTCTGTACCGACCGGCCGGCAATAAATCCAGACTAGCTCTTTATCCTATCTGGGCTTTGTCGTTGGCGGGCGCGAAGCTCCGCGCCATTGTCGCGGCCGGCTGACTGACCAAAGAGGAAGGGAGGAGAGAGGCTGTCGGCCGGACAGCTCTCCCGATGGAACTTGAATTAAATTTCGAGATTTATCGCGTCAATAACCGTGCATTAATTTACGATTTTTAGCGGTGCAAACGTAAATCTACGGCGCCGCGCGCCCCGCCGTCCCCCCCGCGCGGCCCGCCCTGGCCGGCACCCATCGGGGACCGATTGTTTCGTTCGTCGCGTACGGAGAGGTTCTCTGCCCCCTCCCCCGCGCGGGGAGTACAAACGAGAAGAGGGAACAAAAAAGAACGAGGAAACGCGGAGCGCGGAAAGGGGGGGAGACGAAGGAGGGTTGGCCGCGGATTGGCGGCGAAGGGGGAGGATGAAACGCGGCAATGAGAACGTAGAGCCGAGGGTTCGCGCGGCTATATCGTATGCGGAAGAGACCGGGGGTGGGAGACTTGAAGTGTGGGCAACGACATATGCGACTGGCGTGCTCTACATCTAACTTATATTGACTATTACTCATGTTCGTATACTGTGTGACATTCGCCGGCGCGTTCCACTGAAAAGTCGCGGGAAACAATGCGCCCGCGATTCGGAAACCGTCGCCGTAATACCTGAAAGGAATGCCCGACGCGCAGCCGCCACGCTGTTTTCAAATTTCGATCGGATATTTCGCAGGATCCGTCGCGACGGTTTTTCTTTCTTTTTTTTCTCTCTTTTTTCGAAACCGGTGACAACTGAGCCGTTTATTTTGAAAGTGGCATAAGTCGCTTTACCGTGATGAAAAGTGGTGATTTTTTAATGTTTATACGAAATTGTTTATACTGAGAGAAATATCAGTATCCCGAGATAACAAATACAAGTAAATCTTCTCGAAAATTAGCATCCATAGTTTTAAACGTGTTAAAACGCAAATCCTTAGATATATCGACTTAAAAACAAAGTGACTTATGCCACTTCCAAAATAAACGGCTCGTTGTTCGGTAAATTATTCTTACGATTTTGTTTAGGTTCGATCGCGTTCGATCGCATAATATCGTTAAATGTGACACCTTTTTTCCCGGCGAACGATGCGCCGTTTTATCTTGACGCGTGTTACGTGAATTCGTAGTAATATTTAAAAAGATAAGAAATAAATGAATTTCTAGAGAAAATAAATTATTATTACCTACTACTTATATTATTATTATTATTATTATTATTATTATTATTATTATTATTATTATTACTTATTTTCTAGAGAAAATAATAACCTCTTTTTCCGGCGAACGATGCACCGTTTTATCTTGACGCGTGTTACGTGAATTCGTAGTAATATTTAAAAAGATAAGAAATAAATGAATTTCTAGAGAAAATAAATTATTATTACTTATTACTTATATTATTATTATTATTATTATTACTTATTTTCTAGAGGAGATAAATAAATAATATTTAATTCATCGGCGGACTATCGAAGCTTCTGCACTTTTATTTTGTAATGTTATTTAGCAATTTTTTAAATAGAATTTTTAATGTACTTGTTTGGTGTGCGTGTTAAAATTTAAATTAAGGTTCAGAAACTATCTAAATCGAACGACGATATTTATAGTCCGAGCGTTCGAGCGTTAATATATTAATTTAACCGTTAAATAATTTCACAGCACTTTTCTATAGCGTCGTCAATATGAAACGTTTCGACTGTAAAAAGATCACCGTACCCGTAATACGCGAAACGTTTAACCCGATTTAAGTCGCCGGGGTTAAAAGACCCGGGCGAAGAATATTTCCCGCGACGCGGCCGAATGAAATTGTAAAAAGGAGTAGTAAATATTGAGAACTAAGGAGCAGAGAAAAACTGGCAAGAGGAGAAGGTCGTAAAGGGTGGGTCGCGCCGAAAGGGCAGAGAATGTAAGCGAGATTACGCGATTCGGAGCGCAATAGAGAGCGCCGCCAGTTTCTTGGCCTCGGATATATCTCGCCTCTCTTCTACATTGTCCGGCTTTGTCTGCTGCGTGATTTGCACGGCGCAGTATTTCCCTTATTAAACTAATTTGAACTGTGCAAATACGTCGTCGGCAACCAATAACATCTGATGGCAGGATTACTTTGTAATATCTTGTAAACGACTACGGATTTTCATCGTATTATTAGCGCTGCTTATTGTTATCGAAATAGTTAAATTGAAATCGTTTGACAGTGCTTGAAATAACTCTTAAAAAATTATTTTTTTAAGAAAATGTTTTATATTTTAAAGATATAAATGTTTTTATATTTTTAAAGAAATGTTTTAAAATTGATTTCTAAAGCAAAATCTGTAAGAAAAGACAATTCTTGATTCAAATAATAAATTTGTCAATAATATTATTGCAAAATACAATTTGCAATGGTAACACAACGTTGCCATTTCGTATAAAGCAGCTCGATAACTTAAAAACTGAAACTATAATATATAATAAAATAATACACAGAGCGTCCCAAAATTATGGTACTTCCGGGAAATTAGAGATTACCGAGGTGATTCGAAGCAACTTTTTCCTTTGCAAAAATTTTCTCCGACGCATCGTTAACGAGTTATCAACGAAAAACAGTGACCAATGAGAGGCGAGCTCGGCTAGCGCGCGGCGGCCGAGCCAATGAGCGCACGGAGCTCGGTTCCGCTCATTGGCCCGACCGTCTAGCGCCAGGCGAGCTCGCCCCTCATTGGTCATTGTTTTTCCTCAATAACTCGTAAACGACGCCTCGGAGAAAATTTTCGTAAAGGAAAAAGTTACTTCGAATCACCTCAGGAACTCCTCATTTTCTGGATATACCTCTCTGGATATAATATTGGGACACTCTGTATAATAGAGCACTAAAACACTGTTCACAATTTAGGAGAATATTTACAATCTCTACTGCACGATAATATGTATCTGTTCAACTAAAAATTCGCGACGCGTTGCTCGAGCAACGTTTAACGAACAATCTCGATCGTCATTTTTCCCGAAAATAAGCCGAAATGAATCTAAAATAATAAATAATAAATAATAATGAATAAAATATGATTAAAAATAATATATAAATAAATAATAATATATAATATAAAATAATAGTAATAATATATAATAATAAATAATATAATTGAAAATAATAACAATAAATAATCTAAAGACGGTGATATTATCCAGAAAAAAACGTAACGCCCAAGCGTTAATTTATTTATTACTTATTTTTTCGATCACGCGCGCGACCGCCGACTTTCGGGACACCCCGTGCAGATCGGACTGCGTATATCGACGCGTCCCAAATTCTTTCGCGCAAAAGCGAATAGCTGAGCATTATCTATAAAAGATATTCTGAACACCGATATGTTCTTGTAGTGGTTGTGTCTGGCGGGGTGGTGCATAGCGCACATTCCCATAAAAACTAGACCTCCCGGGATCCCGTGCACGCGGTCGAAGAAAATTCAGACGACCACGGCGGCGGCGGCGGCGGCAGTGGCGGCGGCATTGGCGGCGGAACGGCAGGAACCGGGACAAGGAATTAAACAGACCCATAACCTGGAATTTTATTCGAACCGCATGCCAGACTTCATCGGCCGAAAGAATACTTTATTTAAGCTGAAAAGAACGAGCCGGGGCAAACCGGGCTACACCCCGTGCCCCCCCCCCCCCTCTCCCCGGAGTATTCCTAATTTCGCCGGCTAGGCACTGCTGGAATCTTAATTATGAGGAAGAATTTGAAGGCAACTCACCCACCCGTTCCCCCCTCTCCCCGCCCCTCTGCCGCTTCGCCGCACCCCACGGCAACCGGACTACCAACTTGCTCTCTACAATGTTGTCGGCAGTTTTCGTGGGAATACAAATGCTTCGAAATTCGTCCGCGGCCGGGATAAATTGAGCTCTTCGCCGGGGTGTTATTAAATCGTAATGACGGGACAAAGGGAAATTTCACTTGAGAGACAGAAGACGGGAACGCGCCGTGCGCTGGGATATTTGCTAAATACATTATGCACCGAATAAACTGATTGTCGGCATTAAAATGTCGAGCACCGGCGACGACGGCGGCGGATTTGTTAAGTTAACAATGTTGGGCCGGCAGCGAGATTGATCGCTGTCGGATTTCGAATTTGGAGAAATTCTTGTTTTGTGGGTGAGAGAAAGACGACACGAGTAAATTCTTTCTTTCTTTTTTTAAATGCGCGATTTTTAAACGCGCGCGCGCGCGCGCACGAAGCTCGTCGTAAACTGAAGCAAAGAGTTCGATAGAGCCTCTCTTATATACGAACGTTTATTTTTGTAATATCCTGATAATGTATCGAAATAATACAGTGATTAAATAATAGAATATTTGGTATTATTGTGAAGGATTATAAAAGATTATTATAAAAATAAAGGTTCGGATAAGGGAGTCTCTATTTTATTGTGATATACTTTTAAAGGAAAAATTCAGACTCGGCTGATTACATTAAATTACATTAAATATTATACTGATATTATTATACTAATTACTAATTACTATATTATTATTACATTAAATTAGATTAAATATTATACTGATATTATTATACTGATTACATTAAATATTATATATAAATTATATTATTTTTTTATTATATATATTATATATAATTTATAATATATATTTATAATATATATTTATAATATATAATTTATAATATATATTATACGCAATTATATATAATAATAATAAAATAACACTGCTGTTAAATTCAAGCAGCGAATTCAATTGAAACAGTTAACGATACTAAATGATAATTAATAATATCGAGCATGTGTCCTGATGTTGGTCCATTTTTCTGTTGCAGGGATTGTAGAGTCGTCAGAGATCCACAAACGCTCAAATCCAAAGGATATGGGTTTGTTTCTTTTGTCAAAAAAGTGGTAAGTTACAAAAAAAAAACACAATGTTACATTAGAACCTGATACTTCATTCATAACCTGTACAAACGAGCAACGTAATTAATTGATTAATCGCTACTTAATTATTACGCGCTGAGCGCGCTCAGAATTCAACGGGAACGCGTTAAATATGTAATCTCGCTCGATCGGCCGAAATTCTATTCCGCGATTTAAAACTGTTCGCCAAACAAAGATTCTCCGCACTATGGAAAGTAAATTACTTGCACATATAATCCCTAAACCGATCGCGGCGTTCGCGGTTTCATTAACTAAATTCCGAAACGAGGGTGCGCGCGACACGATAAAACAGCGGAGTCACGATTAACCGAACAACATCATTTAACACTCGCACAATCGAACCCATCAGAATGATGAATTTCGTATAATGTGTTCTATGGATAGCGACGAAGTCGATTCAACCGTGTTTCGTCCCGAGAAGTCAATTTTTTCTTGACAATTCCGAGCAAGAATTTTACAATACGAACGATAATAACAACGCTGCACTGTGGAACCTTGCTTATCCGAGATGTTAGAATAGTTACTTGCATTTATTTATGGGGTATACTTGCTAAATATTATTATTGATTTGCACAATGAATCGGTTTTATTATTTCATTAGATTTCATTATATTTTATATTATAAAATAATAAAGATTTCCATTCTATTTTATAATATAAAATGACAGAGATTTTCATTATATTTTATATTATAAAATAATAAAGATTTCCATTCTATTTTATAATATAAAATGACAGAGATTTTCATTATATTTTATATTATAAAATAATAAAGATTTCCATTCTATTTTATAATATAAAATGACAGAGATTTTCATTATATTTTACATTATACAATGACAGAGATTTTCGTTCTATTGTACATTATAAAATGATATATTTTTCCATCATATTTTATATTGTAAAATCTTAGAAAATTGCATTATATTTTATATTACAAAATGCTAGAAAACTTCATTACATTTTATCTTCCATTCATCATTGTTCCTACATTTTAATGCATTCCTTTCCTTTTGTCCGTATTTCATTCTCTCTCCACCCAATTCCCTTTCGTTTCGCCTTCGCTATCTTCGCACAACTTAATTTCTACCCTTGTTAAGACTAACGAGTTTTATCGTCCGCGCACAATAAACAGCGTTAATCACAGTTCGTCCAAAAGTACTCGGATAACAGAGAATTCTGATCATCGAGGCTCCGCCGTGGTTCCGAAGTTCGGCGTGCGAGGATGTTTCGAAAAATTTCTTTGAAATTGAAGTGGCCCCTTTCGGGGAAGATATTCGACGCCGCGCGCGGCTGCCTCTGGGAAATTTCGTGGATGCTTTCCGAACCTGCCCCTCCGGTTGCAAGTTCGCTGATTAAATAAGGAAGGAGCCGCCGCGCGCCGCTTCGCGCCACGATTTTTCGGGGACGGGGCTCCCGGCGTCCCGGACTTTCGCCGTGTCCCGCCAAAATCTGCAGCGTAAATCACGGCGGCCAAGTTGGATGTACGGCTGCGAGAGCAAAAGAAGGCTTTTCCCCGCTTATGGCGAGGTTATTCGTCGGGGTGACTGGCCCGGAGGTACAGACCCTCTCTCTCTCTCTCTCTCTCTCTCTCTCTCTCTCTCTCTCTCTCTCTCCCGCCGGTTTCCCCTCTGTTTTAACGTTCTATCGATCTGGACCACCGCCGGCACCTGTCTCACACCCACGGTATTACTATTGCCGAAGTATAAATTTTCCGGGTGTCTCCGTTAACCTCGAAGAACACGCGAAAATTTCACCGGCGTCCCGCGTCCCCTCCCGCAACCCGGCGCGCAGCTATATCCCTCGGATACATGGTACCTAAATCGGGCTTCTGATCACCCGAACCCCAACACCCCCGTCCCTCCACCCCCTCCCCTTTTAAGATGTACGAGGAAACGCGAATTCCCGGGATTCTCGCTTTCCCTCGACCTCGACCCTGTTTTCCGCGATCCCGCAATAAACGAGCACGCCCTCCCTCCACTCCCCCCCCCCCTGCGAACCATCCGAATTAACGGCGAGACAAAAGTGCTCCGAAACCGAATGTTTCGAACCGCTTGGCGGGCATCGTTCTTCTTCAACGAACGAGACGCGTTCTTCCCGGAAGAACGCTGTTTCGCGGAACACGCGAAAACAATGGTGAAACTTATTTTTTTATAATTAAGGCCGAGTCGTTGGTTCGAACGAAACGTGTGACTAGAGATTTACGAGCCGGTCTCGACCTTGGAGACCGTCGCCGAAGTTGATCTTTCTCCGAAGCGGGATTAGTTCGCGGAAGGTCAAGTTTAAGACATTTTTGCTGGGGTGGAACTTGGTCGCCCTTCTCTCTCTCCCTCTCTCTCTCACTTGCTCTTTCTCTCTCTTGGTCTTTCTCTCTCTTGATCTTTCTCTCTCTTGGTCTTTCTCGTTCGCCCTCTTCCTCTCTTTCAATTTTTCTCTTTTTCTCTCTCTCTCTCTCTCTCTCTATTTCTCTCTTTTTCTCTTGTTCTCTTGCTCTCTCTATTTCTCTCTTTTTCTCTTGTTCTCTTGCTCTCTCTCTCTTCCTCTCTTTTTCTCTTGCTCTCTTGCTCTCTCTATTTCTCTCTTTTTCTCTTGTTCTCTTGCTCTCTCTATTTCTCTTTTTTTCTCTTGCTCTCTTTCTCTATTTCCCTCTTTTTCTCCTGTCTCTTATACACATCTAGATGTGTATAAGAGACAGCTCTATTTCTCTCTTTTTCTCTTGTTCTCTTGCTCTCTCTATTTCTCTTTTTCTTCTCTTGTTCTCTTGCTCTCTCTCTCTCTCTATTTCTCTCTTTTTCTCTTGTTTTCTTGCTCTCTCTCTCTTCCTCTCTTTTTCTCTTGCTCTCTCTGTTTCTTTCTCTTTTTCTCTTGCTCTCTCTATTTCTTTCTCTTTTTCTCTTGCTCTCTCTATTTCTCTCTTTCCTCTCTCTCTCTCTCTCTCTCTCTCTCTCTGTCTATTCCTGTATTTTTCTTTTTCTTTCTCTTTCTCTCTCTCCCTCTCTCTTTTCATTTTCCTCGACTCTGTAACGCCTCAATTTCAATCTAAAAAAAGTTTCGTGTATCTTGATTTAACCCTTAACGATCCAATGCCGCCATACACGCGGCAGAAATCAATAAAACCGTAAAATCTGGCAGGAAACATCGGAAGAATAGGCACGATTGTTTCGATGATGAAAATATATCAACGAAGTTTTATTTAAAAAATGAATCTCTCTTCTCTATATTTGATACGAAAATTTTCAGTAAGAAATTTCTCTTCGTCTGAAAAACAGTCTGGACTTAGCAATGTGTAAACTGGAAATAAATAGTTTTGGTCCCCTAAGGGTTAATATCGATTTTATCTCGATTTTATCTCGACTTTATCACGATTTTATCACGATTTTATATCGATTTAATCTCGATTTTATCTGAATTTTATCCCGTTTTAATCTCGATTTTATCAAAAGTTGTACAATTTCGTCGCCCCGACTGGCAAAAATGTAGTCGAAAACGAAAACCGTTCGAAGAACAGAAATTTGTTCGACTCGGAACAATTGCTACGTAGATTTTTCAACGTGCACGTGTATTTAACGTTAATTTCAGAATCGCCGGCACGTCTGTCTAAATGGTTTTTATTATTCCAAAGTTGCGTAGCCGGCGGAGAACTGTACGGCCGAAGCGCGAACTTCGTAAAATCGTTTCAGTTTGAATTTTTAGCCGGAAAACCGTCGAAAAGTTGAAATTCATGAAATTGAATTTTTACGGAGCGAGTAGCGTTTCAACAAAGTGCGCGAAATAAATATATATCAAAAGGAAACTAGCCGCGGGAGTTCTGAAACCCCTTGCCGTCTCATTGATTACATATTCGCAGCGAGAACCCATTTCATCTTTCTCGAAACCGTGGAAGGTAGACATTTTATAAAGCGCCGGTAAATGAGAAGCGAACGTTTCACAAAATTTCCGTCGGCCGAAAACTATTACGCGCCGCACCCTTCTATGGCGCGAGAACGACGGAAGTCTCCCTAATCGACGCGCAGATTGCGCACAAAAATTCTCGACGATCGGCAATAAATGAAAAAGATCGGCGATAAAAACGAACCGCGAGGCTTCGATGTACAGGGTGTCCCTAAAAGATATGTACAAGCAACTGATTCCTTAAAGAAAAACATGAAAAAAATATTGAATAATTTTTCTTTATTTATTAAGTAAGTTCCAAACAAAAAGAGGTTGTTCTACATTTTTTCATGTCTTTTTTTATGAGGAATAGTGCTCGCTTGTACACGAGGTTCAGGGACACACTGTGTTACGACAAAAATTACAATAACACCTATTTAAAGATCAGAGTATTATTGTTACTTTTGGAAACTAATAGAAAACAGTAGCTTTTAGTATTGCGTAAATATAGTGTTAACGAAAAACCTCGTACGTTGTATGGCAAAATTTGAAAAGTCAGTGGTGGCACTGGAAATTCGATTCTACGCGAGCCACCCCCAAAAATATTATAATAACACCTATTTGAAAATTAGAATCTCATTGTTACTTTTATAATGTAATATAAAACAGCTGCTTCCAGTCTTCTATGAATTTAGTGACGATGAAAAGCCCCATACATTATACAGGGAATTTTGAAAAGCCATCGAATGACACTCGAAACGCGATTCTCCGCGAACCACTCCCCAAAATATTACAATAACACCTATTTAAAAATCAGAATTTTATTATTACTTTTGTAAAGTAATATAAAATAATAAAATAGCTACTTCCAGTCCTCCACGAATCTAGTGACGATGAAGAGCCCCATACATTATACAGGGAATTTTGGAAAGCCAGTGGATGACACTCGAAACACGATTCTGCGCGAACCTCCCCCCAAAAATATTACAATAACACTTATTTAAAAATCAGAATCTTATCTTTACATTTATAACGTAATATAAAACAATAAAATAGCTGCTTCCAGTCCTCTATGAATTTAGTGACGATGAAAA